GCCATGCCCGAGCAGCTCAGCGTCGCCGAGTTCCTGGCCGTCACCGCGGAGGACCTCAGCTCCCCGGCCGGGGCCGCTGCCTTCGCCGCCAAGATGCCCCGGTGCCGGGGGGCGGCGCTGGCGCGGGAGGAGGTGAGGGGGCCGTGGTGGGAGGGGTTGGGGGTCCCGGCAGGGCCTCGCCTTGACCTTCACAGGCGTGACCGGAGTTGCGATGGCCAGAAACCTGCCCCCTCCCTAGATCTGTGAGAACCGAGTGTATCGCAAACATCCGCGTCCTCGCCGTCGAGGCGGGGGAGGGCCCGAGGGACTGTCTCGGGGGGGGGGGGGCCGGGGGGTTTTTTGGGGGGGGGGGGGGGGCCTCGAGGTCACCTCGGTGACAGGCTTCACTGGTCGGGGCACATACCCCTAGTGCTCTTGGTGACCTGTCTCGTCGCATGTGTGTTTGCTCAGCGCCTCACTGCATCTGTTTGGATTTTCATCTTCGGAGCCTCACAAGTTTGCCCCCAAAGTCACTCCCCTTCTGGGATGCAGGCCTTCCCGCCTCAGTCCTGAACTTACTTCTCCGTGGCTGCAGGAAGGCCCCCTCCTCCTGGCTGCTGGTTTTGAGATTTGGCCGGCGTTTGTGGAATGAATGTGAAGGAGAAGGCGCCAGGAGCCAGGGTTCACCTTGGCCAGGCTGTTGGCAAGTTTATCGTCTCCTCTCCCCTCCCCTCCTCTCTCCTCTTTGTCTTTGCCATAAACGCGTCCCAGGCCTTTATTTCGCCCTTGCAGGATGCCCCACCCCATTCCCCTACTCGCTGGAGTTCGTTCCCCTTCTCCGGACCTGCTGCACTTTCCCGGGCCTCCTCTGCAGGAATCTTCTAGGGCAGACACCCTGTGGCTCTGGGCCAACAGAGAATCTGTGTTTTTGCAGCTCCCTTTCAGAGGATGCCCTGAATTTGGGTGGCATTTTTGACCTCAGCAATGGCTCTCACCTTCCATTCTTCACCATAAAAGTATGAACACCTACTGTGTGCCAGATACAAAGCTCAATAATTCATAATACCCTGGGCCAATGTCTTGGGAAATCTCTGCTTCTCCTCCTCTCCTCTGGCAGGCTGAACCCCCATCCCAGAGTCTGTATGTATTGCTTTGTAGGAGTGGTAGAGGATTGTAGAAAGAGCATCGACTGTGGGGGAGGCAGACCTGTGTTCAAATTCTGACTCTGCAGTTTGCCAGCTGTGTGAGCTTGGGCATGTGACCTGATCTCTTTGAGCCCCACTTTTGGCATCTGTAAAATGGGGATACTAATGTTTACCTCACAGGGCTATGGTGTTACACGAGGCAATGTGTGTAAAGCCTACATCTTGATAAATAGAATGATTACCAGGTTAATTGACAGACCTCTTTAGACAGTGACTAGGTCTCTTTTGTTCTCATTTCTCTCACAGAGCCTAGCCTGGTGCTTTGCACGTAGTAGGAGTACAAGTTTTAATTAAAATAAGAAGCAGCCAGTGACCTTTGGCTTCCTGCCTTGGGCAGAACCAATAGCTTGGAGTCCACCACCCATGAATGTGGACTTACTGGGAAGTTCACAGGGAAACTGCTGCAGAGCCTCATCCTGAGGAGAGAGAGCTTCCTGAGGTTTGTCTTCCTGGCCTCGAATTTCGTGACCAGGAAGAGTCCAGTGCCGTGGGCATCTTTAGGGCTTTCACAGTTCACCCTCCTCTCAGGACTGTTCATTAAAATGTTAAATCAGAGCAGGAGAAGGGGCTGTACTATGAATCCTTCTCCAGGGACAGAAATGCCCTTTTATGCCCGTGCATCTGGCCTGGCCTGGCTTGGTGTGCATGAGCACTTGTGTGTGTCAGCAGGGCTGGGGGGAGCCCTTGGAATGGGTCTGGGGGCCGTGGCAGGCTCTGCTCAGCGCTCAGCTTCGCCCCAGTTCAGTCCAGACAAAACCTGCCCTCCTTTGCCTTTGGGACTTTGGTTTGGCGCATCCAAGGGTTCATTTTTGCGACAGAAAGGCTGTGGCACCCAAACACAGCTTTTCTCTTTAGCATTTCACAGCCTGAAAAGTTAGAATCTGACCTTTGGACTGGACTTTCCTAAGGTTTCCTGTTTGGTTTCGCATTCATGTTTATATTTACATGTAGTTTGATGCTGGCATCCCCCACCTCCACAGTTCTGGGCATGACTAACCCACCCCCAGGCTTGAAGCTCCATTTGGCTGAATCAAAATGTAACTGATTCTTTTTTTTTTTTTTTTTTTTTTTTAAAAGATTTTATTTATTTATTTTTCCCCCAAAGCCCCAGTAGATAGTTGTCTGTCATAGCTGCACATCCTTCTAGTTGCTGTATGTGGGACGCGGCCTCAGCATGGCCAGAGGAGCGGTGCGTCGGTGCGCACCCGGGATCCGAACCCGGGCCACCGGCAGCGGAGTGCGCACACTTAACCACTAAGCCACGGGGCCGGCCCGTGTAACTGATTCTTAAAGCAAGTCTTCCAGTCCCAGCTGGTTTCCTGGGAGTAACTAGGGACTCTGTCCTGGGACTTGCAGCCCTTTTTTGCTTTCCTGCTAGGAAGGACCCTGAGCAGGCCACAGGAAACTAGAATGTCAGTGCTGAGAGACCCTTTAAGAGAGAGATCACCTAGGAACTCGCTCATTTAAGATGGGGAAACTGATGTCCAGAGAGTGTGAGAGACTTCTCCAAGCTCCCCGTAGCTGGGAAGTGGAAGAATTGGCATTTCCACCCAAATGTTCTAACCCCTGGTCCTTTTCTCTTTCTTTCTACAGTCCGACTGCCTGTTTCCCTATGTAACTTCTCTGAACCTCGGTTATTTCACCCATAAAATAGGTTTAATCATCCCTTCTTGCTTACCTCTCTGGGTTGTTAAAGTTGTTTTTGATTGTGAAACACCTACAACTGTAAGAGAGTATTAAGACAGATAATCATTCTGTCAACCTTCCTCCTGTCCTGAGCCCCTTTACATCCATCGTCTCATTGATATTCACAATAACACAGGTGAAAATGGGTCCAGGGAGGTTAAGGCAGTTGCCTTGTGTCACATAATCAGTCTGTCTGACTCTAAGGCCTGTGCTCTGTCCACTTCTCCATGCCATCTCTGTGCTAGGCACCAAAGACATAAAGATGCTTGAAGGATGAAAGTAGAGAGGACAAGTGAGTGAATTTGGAGACTGGTGGGAAGAGAGCATATTCAGGAACCAAGTAAGCCATTTTGACCAGTGCCGAGAATTCATGCTATCTGGCGTGTCCCACACTGCTAGTGAACTTCTGTCTCCTGGTGAGGCTTGGATGAAGCAGTCCTCCACAAATAGGGCATCTTCAAAAGCGTGTGTATTATATATTTTTTTGAAATTTTAATTGCACACAGGACATAATAATTTTTAATTAACAAATTTAAAAACATAACAGAAAAGGCTAAAGCAACCTCTGACCATGTCCCACAATCCCTGTGTTCTCGCCAGGGGTAACTGCTGTGGAAATGTGCATGCTTCCCAATGTAGGTCCTCAGAGAAAATATGTTATCGGTAAGGGAGTGGTGGTTAGGAGAATGTTTACCTAAATTGGTATCATGTCTTATAATGCATAGTTTTAAATTTTATGGGAGTCAAATTTATCTTTTCCTTTGTGACTTTTGCTTTTTTGAATTTTGTTTTGGAAAAAGAATTTCATTCTTAGTCTTAATATTCTTGTGAGTTTCACATTCTGCTTCATCATGTGTCTATATTTGTTTTACAAAACATAATAAAATTTTTGTTTTACAAAAAATAATAAAAATTATGTAATCTTAGAGATTGTTTGCAAGAAACATAAACCCTCTCAAGCTTGTTTATGTTGAAGGGAAATTTGTTTTAAGGAATTAAAGGTGCTTCAGGGGACTGGAGAGCAGTAAGTAAAAGTAGACCTCACCGGGGCCTCACTTGAGGCTGGGGAGTCATCAGGGACAAAAGCAGCTGCTCCGTCCTTCTCGCTGTCTCTTGCCTCTTTCTGCACGTCTGAACAGTGCTTTTGCTCACTTGTCATCACACTGGCCCCAAAGGGCATCTCAGAGTCTTCTGGGGAAGACAGGCAGCTCAGCCCCCACATTCACGTGACCTCACTGGTCCAGCATCCAAAGGTAACCAAGCAAGTCTTGTGTCCCACTTCCCAGTGCCTGGTAGAGAGGCTGCTGGCCCAGCCCAGCTACTGCATTGGTTCCAGAAGCCGGGTCTCCACCCCTGGTTTCATCAGCAGAGGTCATGGAGGGATAGGCTCAGGCAGAGTAAACATGGCCACAGAGACCTACGCTGTGGGAGGGGGCACTTCTCAGAGAAGAGGGGCAGGGCCTGGAAAGTGTCCCCCCCAGTGTGTCCACGGCAGTTCCTCTTCATTTGGCACAATCTAGGCTCTGGGGAGAGGCTCTGTGCCTCCCTAATTATCCGGGTGTAAATGAACCCCAGTTTGGAAAGCTCAGGGATAGGGGAATTAAAAAGATGGATTGGAGAGCTAAGGGAGTGCAGCACGACTTGGAGGGCCTTTGGGCTTTTGTGCTTTTTGCTGGGCAAAAAGTGGACCCAGTCATGTTGCCTAAGGAATGGATGGGGCTGGCGCTGCCAAGGGCCACAGCAGCCAGCATAGTGCCTGGGGACTGTTCCATGCCAGGCCCTGTATTGGCCCTGGGTAGACACATTGCTCAGTAAAAGAGATGCACTCCCTACCCGTGGAGCTTACACTCTTCCGGGGAAGACAGGCAGTAAACAGGTAAACAAACAAGTCGGTAATTGCACATTGTGATGAGTGGCATGAAGGCTCATCTTCCCCGTCAATGCCTTCCTTAAGATTTGGTCCTGGATCTTCATCTCTTCGCATGCTAGCCAGTCTCCCCAGGCAATCTCATCCACACCCATGGCTTCCCCCATCTTTAGGTGACTCACACATTTGTACCTCCAGCCCAAACCTTCATGTCCAACTGCTCACGTGGCTGTTTCACTTAGATGTCTCAGTGTGTCCAAAACCATACTCATGACTTTCCCCCCAGCCTGGCCCTTCCAGTCTTCCCTTCTCAGTGAGTGGTACCTCTCTCTACTCTGTTACATAAGCCAAAAGTCTCGCACCTCCACATGCACACTGGGTCACCAGGGGTCATC